ACCTCTGGTTAAATCTCCACTAAACACATCTAAAAACATCTTTGAAAACCGTATCTTCATGGCATTTCATAGCGAAAAATCACAAAACACCAAGCCATTGAACTGACGTCACCAGCAGCCCAGCACCTTGCGTCCCTCTGCCCCTTCTGCGCCACTGGATCCCCCAGGAATCTGCACCTAACGATGGTCAGTGCGGCAACAGTCACCATTGAAGCAAGAAACATAGGTTTACGGATAGGATTTGAATGGATTTCATAGGGATTTAAGCAAACAATGGTGATTTCATGTGGATTTCCCAGGTATAATTATGACCATGCTGGTTAAGTGGACATTACATTATCACAAATGGGGATTGAACCACAGAACATGAGGATTTCATTCATCAAATATGGGGGGTTCAGTCATCAAACATAAAGATTTTACGAAAAAAAAACATCGGGAATGATGGAACCACCAAACATATCCAAAAATGGGGATTGACGCACCGAATATGGGGAAATAACCTCTGAGCAGCAAGAATCGCAAGAATGAGGGTTCATGTGGATACATATGGTTTTTGATTTCAATGTATCCTTAAAAAAAAATATCAATTATGATGCACTCCTCAAACAAGGCTGACCATAAGCTATCTCAGGGTCTTCTAAGGTGGCTGCTTGGTGGTTTCAGACCATCCCCAAAAAACGGGTATATATTTTTTTCAGGATGTGAATAATAATAATAATAATAATGATCATCATCATCATCATTCCTCATCCCAAATCGAAGAAAAACATGAACCACGACATAATCAACAAATCTGAAACCACAGAAAAAATGACCAACTGGTGTTTCTCACCCCTTTCCGCGCTCGGCACCTTGGACAACAGCGCCTGGCATGGCATGGGGAATTCAGATTTTCCCGCTGGATCTCTATTGATTCATCCCGCTCCATCCCCTCTTGGTGGCTTCCCAGTGTTGGACATATTTCTGATTGACATTTCTGGACCCAGGTTTCTAAACTCTCTAGATTCAGTTTATTCCAGGTTTCTAACGGTTTATTATATGTTTATTCCCATTTTTGCAGTTATTTCTGATTCTAGACATTTCTAGACCCAGGTTATCCCAGGTTTATAATTATATGTTTATTCGTATTTTTGGGCTGAATTTCGGGCATTTTTCCCTCCAGATCCTCCCCTGGCCCCTCCACCTGCGTGGCCAGGTCCAGGTCGCCCGCAGAACGACTGACCTCGAAGGACTGCCCCAAGAGTTTCCGCGCCTTGGCCAGGCACCAAAAAAAGGGCAGGGTGGGGATTGAAACCAACCATAGCGATATATAGAGGATATCCCCAATCATTAAAAAATGATCTTATACCGGCAAGAGACCCCAAACAGGGAGTAAAACAATAATGTATTATAGTGTGGATTAATGTGGATGATGATGGTAATTAATGTTGATGATGATGATGATGATGGGAATGATGATGATGATGATGATGAAGATGATAATGACGGTGATGAGGAGGATGATGATGGTGAGAGGAAGATGATGATGTTGAGGAGGAGGATGTTGAGGAGGAAGACCGATCCCAAGACCGGGAAGCACACTTTGTGCGAGCCTGAGCAGTCGAAATGCAGACGGACATTGTGCAAGAGCCATTTTGCGGAAAATAACAGTTAGTAAACATCGTTTTGCGCGAGCCTGCGCAGGTGAAATCACAAGAGCCATTTTGCATCGAAATTTGCAGGAAAAACGACCGGGGACACCTCCGGGACATCGTTTTGTGCGCGTTTTGTGCGCGCCTGCGCAGTCGAAATGCACAAGGACATGTCACAAGAGGCATTTTGTGCGAAATTTACAGGGAAAATGCTGGACGCTTCCGATTACAACCTCGATTGAAACACCGGGCCTTAACACCTACAGTAAGAACCCCTCGGTGTGGACACACTGTTTGGGGAATATGGATAATATATGATAATATACTATTATATAAAAATGATGTGGAGGACTTTATAAGAGGATGAACTATTTAAACATATTTAAACTTCATCTAAGAATATACAATTTCAAACAAATGATATGGAGGACTAGGACCTAGGAAGGATGAGGGATAAACCAACCATAGTGATGTAAATGATGTAATGAGATATTTTATAAGGATGATATAATGGGGTACATAGAAAAGGTTATGATCAAAGGATAGGTTTTGTTGGGGAAAAACTTCACCGGAAACCATTTCTGCGGAGCCAAGAGAAATTAATCCCCTGGTTTTGTTGGGAAAAACGGGGCTGGTGTCTGGATCCCCACTCCGATGTCTCCAGTTGTTCCCAGGTGCCTTCTCTAGGAAAACTTGTTGCTCTGGTGGCAACTTTGCTGCCTCTCAGTGACTCTAGTGACACCATGTTCTGTCACAGTGACAACATCCGTATAGTATAGCACCTGATTTTTCACCTGGTTTTTCACCACACTTCATGAAATTTCAGATTAAGGAAGATTTCAGATGTGTTCCTCTGCTCTATCATTAAAAAGGCCAGGTGCCAGCCCAATGACCAGCCCATACCATCCCACCTTGCTAGTGTGGGAAGATCTTGAAGCCTGCAACTATTCACTGGGCAGAGAGGACCACCGTGAGGATCCCATAGGATTCACCTCACCAATCAGATTCCAGTTCTATAGATTTACCCGACCTCATAATCACCTGTTTTACTGGAACAAAACTTAAACGGGATGGCCTTTTGTATCGACCTCAGACTAGATGATTTTCACACATTTAATGGATCTAATGTGTATGTGTATATGTATACATATATATCATGTATCAGTTTTTTCACGTAGGAATCCCAAAATCAGAATGTTTAAGTTTTCGCCGTTGTGCATATACCCTCCAGTAAACCAACAGAGCTATGGAACACAGGCCCAGTGTCATCCATTTTCCAAGCTATGTCAGATAACCACTGGGTATATCCGATTATACATTATTCATCCATTCTTCATCCAGTATTGTTGGTTGTTTTCCCATTAACCATTGGGGCCCCCCAGTTATAAGTTGGTTTATAAACCATGATAATCCCCATGAATACTATAGTTATATCTACCATAAACCATAGAATTCAACCACATATAAACCAAATGAACGCTATCTTGGGGGGGGCCATCTTGCATTGTTAATCATCATTTTATCATCATCAACCATCACCTCCCGATGATTCGCCCCTCTAATTTTCCCATCATTGACCATCAACTCTCGATGACAATTCCCATGATCAATGGATATCAAGATGATGGTCAATGATGGGATAATCAATGGAATATCAATTCTCAATAAATGATCAATAAATGATCAATGGCATAATGGGAGAATGATGGGATAATCCAATCCTGCTATTTCCACTATTTCCTGCTGCTCCCATCTCAGGGTGGCACCGGCGCCTTCGCCAGTAGGAGCCCCGCCAAGTAGTAGCGTTCAGCTTCCTGGGCGCCGCCGTTCGAACGCCGCCGTTCGCTCAGATTCACCCTGGAATGATCATCCGACTTGTCCATGAACAAAATATGGGATGTGTTCTTTGAGTGGATCCATTATCTATCATTAACCATCCATTAACCACCATTAACCACCATTGACCATCCATGAACCACCATTAACCACCATTAACCATCCATGTTGATCTATGTTGATCTATGTTGATCTGATTGATCCATTGTGGTTGATCCTAACCTTTGTATCCACCAGGGATTTAGATGATCCAACCAGGCGGCCTTTTTGTACTCTGACCTCTCTGACCATGCCAGGAATGGTCAGAACAATGATGCAGATTTATCCAATTTATCCATTCAACATATGGTTAATAGTGGTTAATAGTGGTTAATAGCGGTTAATCATTATACTGGTTGGTGGTGCAATAACCATCTTGAAAAATATGAGTTCGTCAATGGGAAGGATGACATCCCATATATGAAATGGAAAATAAAACATGTTCCAAACCACCAACCAGTATGGGTTCATGATCCAACTTAAAGTCCCACTTATTCCATGTTTTCGAATGGATGGGAAAATGTAACATACTTTCAAACCACCTGGCCCAGCTGTTCCGAACGCACCAGGCCGCCCTGGCGTGCTCCAACGGACTCGAGGCAACCCATTCCTTTCAGCAAATTTGGTGGGATACCATAGCTGTTAATACCATCAGGTAATTTGTAGGAAAGTAGCCATTTCAATACAGGCAAATCATCCAATGAAATATGGTCCATTTTGATCCACTTTGCATAGCTATGTTGAATAACCAGAGAGGAACCATCGGAATATATGGGGACTTTATACACCATGAACATCCACGAATCACAAACTTGTCAAGGCTACCATTTGGAGGCTTTGTGAACTGGAGTATCCAATTCCGGGAATGGCAGGATGGTTCAAAACGTTTCTTTTCAACAGCAATCCCAAAAGCCCACGGTTTATCAGAATTGTCCTGTCAAAAGTGCCACCATTTCCAGGTAATATTCCCAATGTTTTAATGATTTTCATGTCCCATATTTTGTCCGAGATGGTCAGTTCATGTCAGTTCAATCCCAGACGACTTGAGACAAACCTATGGCCGTCCTCATAGAATGATTGATTTAATACCTTCATATTCTGCTGGTAGAAGAACCATCATTTCTCTCATGTTGTTGGTTCTCATATTCAATATGTATTTATACATATTCCGATCACATACCTGTATTTTGTACCTGTATTTGGTTACTTAAATCAGTTAAATGATATAGAACCCCAGGGCCCAGGGCTGTAAAATCATATTTTTGCTGGTTAAATCATCATGTTGCTGGTTAAGTTCACATTTGCAAATCGATGTGTTTCCATCTTGGATATCTATCTGTCTGTCTGTCCATCTATCTATCTGTCTGTCTATCTATCTAATCTAATCTAATCTAACCTAATCTTATACACATATCCCATCTGAAATCCCACCTTAAATCCCATCTGAAATCCCCTATGTTTCCACTTTTGCTGGTCATATCTCGCTCCGCTCCTCCACCTTCGTCAAAAGCTCGTTGGGTCTCAGCTGCCGTTGAAGGTGAAGTGTCTCCATGGCCTCCACATCTACAGATCAAGAGGAGATCATCCGGTCATAGCTATTGAACATGGCCATAGAAATAGATGATTTACCTATTAAAAATGGTGATTTTCCATAGTTAATGTTAGTTTACCAGAGTGTAAATATGTTGAAGACCTGTCCACCCATTCCAAGTTTCAGTCCGTAACTATAATATATATATATATAATCATATGTATATACCTGATTATACCTGTATATATATACACAGTATATGATGGATAAGACTATATTTGGATGATGCTATATGGAATATACGATTCACTGAAAAATGTTCTTCTTATGGCTAATATACTATATATTATACTAATATCATATAAGAATAGGAGATAATAAAATATCCACAGTCATTTATTTATATGGATAAATCAAAGGAGAGTACATCTGGCTGAATTACCATCATGCACTAACCGGAAGAGTTCGGCCAAATATATGGATATGTATGGACAATTCCATCATCATAATCTATATTGGTACTACTGTCGGTATATTGTATATTAATAGAGAAACAATCAAAATCATAATAGCATAGCATAGTAAGCATAGAAAACCAAACAAACAAATCAATAACAATAAAAACACAATATATAACATTATATAATTATATAACAATAAACAAAACAAGGGTCATCATCATCACCATCATCATCAATCGCCAGAAACATCTACATCGAAGTGCCATGGCGCCTCTGAGAAACAACTCACCGAGTAGACCTCGATGATGATCACCTGAGACAACTGAGAGGATCATGCCACTTAGCTGGTCAAAATAACACTTGTGCCTAAGTCCAATCAGTGGGGTTATCGAGTTTATCCCACTATTTTTTGTGGCTTATGATCAGTTGGTCGTATATCCCATGCAGGCTATATCCCCATTAGGTCGCCATTGCATGTATGGCTTTCAATGATCCCCAATAAACAAGGCATCATAGCCGGATCCTCACAATCATCCCAGTTTAAACAAATTTATACAATCACATATGGGGACTTTGCAACCAATAATCAGTCCCAATTTTTCCAGGGACCACCAGTCTTAATGAACAATAATCGCCTTAAATCGCTATTTCCAATTGAAGCCATAGTTACAACACCAGTTAACATCACAATTACCACAGTTACAACAATTTTAACATCAACATTCAGCCAACATGAAAACCGTCCATTCACCAACAGTTCTTAGACTTACCAGGGACAGGGACCGACAAAAACATCCCAAGCCAGGCACCGGCCAGCGGCTGTTGGTGAGACCGCAAGTGCCATCCACATCTAGCTCAGTGCCTCGGCACTCCACGCATGGCACGGCGCATGGAATCTGGGTGACATCGGAGAAACATCGTGAACATCGTGAAATATATGATGATATGTTTAAATATCATGATGTCACCATGTTTTTTACTGGTTTACATGGGATGAAATATTAAGATAAATATGTCACCAATGTGTTTTTGTTGGTTTATATGGGATAAACAAAATGGTGAAATATGCTGGTAAATCACAGATTGTTATGGGAATATGTGGTCAAATGCTTCCCCTGGGTCACCTGGGCCCCCCTGGGGCCCCCTGGGTCCCCGGTCTCACCGTTCGCGTGATGCGCGAGATGCGAAACAAGCTCTCCAAGGGGAAGAGGGAGTCGTCCACGTTGCTACCACGCCTTGGCAAACCGCTTGGGCCACTTGGGGAACTGAGACCTATAAACTCGAAGTTCCCGAACTCGAAGCCATGGCCCATTTAGTTTGGCGGTTTTACCTATTCAAAATAAATGTGTTTTCTTCCATAGCTATGTTACAGTACCAAAGCCTAAATGCCACGAATGCGGGAATTGGTGAAATCCAGGAAGAATTGACAGGATAGCCTTTGTTATTATGGTAACATTGACTTTTTGATAAACCAAAACAAGTGAATATATTACAGATAAATGAGCTGTTGATAGGTATACAAGCAATGTAAATTTTATATTATATACATGCCATGAATCTGAATGTGATCGATAGAGATCGGGATGTTATCCTTTTCCAACATTGAGAAAGTCCAACTCCCTTGGTGGTCATGAACATGAGACTTTGTCCAAACATAGGGCACCCCATTCCATGCAGTGGTTTATCATCATTTTCGCAAACATAGTGTAAACAAAATAACAAAAGTCATCTCAGTATTTATCACTAAATGCAGAAAACCTGCAATATTTATATAATTACCATTAATTACCAATCAATCCGTTCGACCATTAAACAACATTAAACAACATGTTTTCGGCAATGATAACCCAATTCTCCGTCGAAGACTTCATTGTCCAGGCTTCCCGGGCAGAGACATGTGCTTGGGATAGCTGGGTATCTTCTCATCTGGCCTCCAGAATGAGGTCTGGCCAAAGATCCTGTTTGATGTTGAAATGGAGGTTTCCTAAGTCATAGGGGTACCCCGATTTATCATCCATTTTAGATTGGGATTTTCCACTACCATCCAGCTATTGGGGTACCTCCATTTATGGAAACCCTCAAATGTGCAACCAGTTTTTGTAGCCATGAAAATCCATGGCACCCGACGTGGGGATTTCACCGTGGACAAATTCCATGGTTAAAGCAATAAACCACGAAGATGTTGATGGTATTTGATGGTTTATACCACCTGTGAACGGTGTTTTTTTTCCGGTTTACTTTACGATTGCTTTACTCAAATTACTATACTTCACGAGTCAGAAAGTAACAATTCTTGTGATCATCCCCCAACATCATTTCCAGACACCTCCGCTGATATATCGGCCGCATTTTAAAAATCGGTAGTAACCCCGAGTGCCACGTGGTTCCGCCTGATGATTAGCAGAACATTGCAGCGTGTCTTGGCCAATCTGGTGATAGCCTGGGAAAAGCAGCGACAACAAAAAAGCGCCGGTGCTTCAATGATGGGCCATATAGGAGTTACATGACTGGTATGTGGCTACAAGAAAACTCGTGAACACTATGGTAAGTGGCTTAAAAATGCTTAAAATCCATATCTAAAGCTAATTGTGTTTGGGATATAACCTTGTTACCTCACCCGTTAACCAAGCACGGCGCATCTAAGTGGCGTCAAAAAGTTTGGTGGGTTTTCGCTGCCTACGACAAGCATATCGCGGTGTTCATATTTTTGTGCGGTGTTCATATCGCCTGCAAGAACATGTGATTCTTCTTCAGACTCGAAGCAGTTGTGTTTTGCTAATTATCATTTCTATGCTGCAGGGTAAAAACCATGCACCTGAAGCATTCTGGGTCTCCAAACACTGTTTCTGGAGGAGAGTGAGCTAAAAAAGGAGCCACCACCTGGACACATGGAGTCGTCATGCTGATGATGCGAATTCAGTCAGTACGTTCAAATACATGTGCATCTACTATGGTTTAC